TATGATGTCATTATGAGTCTCATCCTAATAACCAAAAAAAAATTGGTTTTTTTAAATCGAGGCCAAAGTAAATGGATATTAAGAAGTGACCAAATTTATTAGAAATCCTGTCAAACATAGCATACCAACTAAATTACACTCTGCTTTTCATTCCTGAATTATGTTATACTGTTACGAACCATATCCTAATCAGATACTTTGATTGGTTGATGCTTATTCGTTTCGGCTTTCGTAAACCATAACAAAATGCAGTTCGGAAATATGCTAAATTGAGTAATCGAATACTAGAATAATCGACACGAAGATCCGTAGTTTTTATTTGCCCTTGTAATTTCTTTGAGCCTGAACTTGACATAGGGTTTTTATATATTCAGCAATTATTAAACGATATATAAATAGGGATGAGCTATATATAGAAGAAAGGATTTACTTCTGTTTTCTCAATAATAATTTATTATCGTATGTAAAATTTTGTGAATGCAGTTTAATAAAAAAACAACCAAAAGAAATTAATTATTAAATAACTTGATGTGATACAATCTGTAGTATAAAAATCTAAGAAATATTATTTTTTTGTTTATTTGTCGAATCAACTGAATAAAATGAATATATTTAAATGATAGATATTGCTACCTTCAAAATAGTTGTAAGCTATAATTTTAATATTTGAACATTCGCAATACGTATTTAAAAAATTGTTATGCCATTTACTAAAGCTAACTGAATGAGAGACCCGTCTAAAAAAACCCTAATACTAGTTATCCGATATGTTACTTGACACTGCAAAAGTGGGTCAATTTTAAAATATTATCCACCCCATCCAATTATAGTTGTTAGGCGAAACCTATATATAGGTTTCGCCACTGGAAAAAGGTGAAACTTACTTTTGCTAAAAAAGCAAAATAAGAAAATTCTATAGAGATTAATGGTGAAACTGCGAAAAATTATAAAACTATCAAAGGCAATGATTGTCCTTATATCGGCGTAAATTGTACAATATCTGATATTATGGGAACGCGTTTCTCGATTTATTTCTTTTCTTCTAAAAATAAATATTAATTTATTGGTTTATTGATACGAATCACAAGACATTAAGATTATGGCGTCTGGGCTAAATCTTATTTATTGGCCTTTTTTTTTTTTTGGTCATTAAAATTGATAAAATCTAATCAAATATCTCTTAAATTATAATTCGTGGTTAGATTAGACAGTCAATTGATGTACATGTCAATATAGAAAGTACCCCAAATTTAAAAATTACATATTAAGAACTTGCGTCTAAATGATTACTTCACCCTTCAACCGATTACTTTTTTCATCAATCAAGTCAACAATAAATTATTTACTGGGTACATTTATTTATACTGATCTCGATATGTGATGTCTTTCGAATCAAAACCTAACCACAACCGATCGGTCGGTACCCTTTAAATTTTGGGATACCAAAAAATTAATCCAGATAGTAGGACTTAGTATATGATAAAAAGTTGCGAGAAATTTTAATTCAAATATAAAATGTGATTCTTTGTTAGCTTTCGATATAATACAGCTGATCTTATGATCAACAGAAAGCCTTTTCGAGAATCAAAGCTTAAAAAATAACTAATATTAGAACTTTATACATGATATACATAATACAATTGGTTAGTGTAGTAAATTTTTATTACAGGCTTGCATTTTAATAGATTCAACATAATAATTTGGAAAGCATGATATTAAGGATTTAAAAAAAGCAAAAACAATATCTATATATAGTGACCCTCGTTAATATCAACCTTCATTAGTAAAAAATTGCGGTTTAATATATATAAATAACTATCACATTATTATCAACCATCATAAAATCAACATAATTATCTAATTCAAATGGGTTGATATTAACGAAGGCCATCTGTATTAGCTTATCAAATTAAAATTTACACTTTTAGAGTATTGACTATCCTTTTACGTTAGAATATCAGCCGGCTAATAATTTATGAAAATAACTAGTATTATAACATCAGCTGTGAAGATATTGGCCATAAAGATATCAATTAAAGTATTAAGCATTGTGACTTAAGCCATGAACGAACAATTAAATTTGAGAAAATAAAAACCGTGCATTTAGGGAGGTAGAAAGTGTTGTGTTTAATTATGTATTACATTTAAAGTATTGAATTTAGGGAGCTAAAAACATATAAATATTAGCTGGAGTCGTACCTGTAGGGAAGTGTTGCATTTCATTTAATCAGGGTTGGCCAATGAACCAAAAATGCGGCTTAGTAGCTATCAATGGACTGACTAGCGATGTAAACCAAACCCGAATACGACTTTCTAGACCATTGTTGTAATTCCAAACACAACACAAAACCCAAACCGGTGCCCATTTAATTTTGCACATTCCAAACCTCAAGGACCAATCATCTCTACGAAATAAACATGACTCAGGACGAAACAAATTTGGCGCATATAATAGTGCAGGGGAATTATTTTCACAATTGTGGAAAAATTCTCCTGAATCACTAGATAATAACAATTTATTTGCCTTATTATTCGCACTCTAGCAAGCGATACATAAATTTGGTTACAACACAGTTGCAACACAATTGTCGAATCTAGTAAAAACCTTTGGGATCCCAAACTATCGGGTTTGCATCGCAACCATTGACCCAATGGACAATGTCCATTGATATTTTTTTCAGTGCATATCATAGTTCATTGCCAACCCTGCATTTAATGTATTGTATTTAGGGAGCTAAAAAAACATATATGTATTAGCTGGAATCGTATATTTATTAAAGTGTTGCATTTAGGAAAGTGTTGGCATTAGGGATGCATTGCAGTTAGGGTGCATTGCATTTAAGGGTGCATTGCATTTAGGGGTGCATTGCATTTTTAATGTATTGCAATTAGGGAGCTAAAAAACATATAAACATTAGTTGGAGTCGTACATTTAGGGAAATTTTTCATAAATCGTTGAGCTGCATTTAGGAGGTTTGACTGTATAGGTGGTAAAAAAGGTAAAGAACCCCTATTAAAAAAATTAATGATCATCACTCTACCATTTGCACCATATTTTGCCCCAGAATTTTAAATTCAAAATTATAGTTCTTGGCAAATGTTTTTATTATGTATGTGTGATCAACAAACACCAACTTTATCTATGCCGATGCAATTTGCCGATCTGATGGAATATTCGCTATCGAAATCCTTATTACTGTTTTTTGAAAACTTTGTATATAAATGCTCGATTTCACTTTACTGAAAATATCATAATTTTAAAAGATAATGATTTCATATAGCATTCAATCTTTTATTTTTATTTTCTCATTATTTTCATTCTATAAACTAACGTTATGCTCGGAAAATGAACCATTTTTATATGAACGTTCTCCTGAGTATCTTATCGATAACCATTTTTTCGAAATTAGACCAGCAAAGGATGCTTTTTCTCTTGACGTTAAGCCTATAAGCTACCCTGATGGTTATACATTAAGCCAATTATTTTTACTTGCTAGACATGGTAATTATTTATTCATATACACAATAAAAATTATACAACAAACATTTGATATAAAGTAATTTTTTTTGGAATCTATTTATTAGGATCTAGATTACCGAATTTAAACCAGATTCAAGGATTTAATAAAGTTGATAAAGCATTTGAAAATGTTTCTGTATCAAAAGATTGGGTAAATATGTACTACTAATCAGTCATGTTGTAGCTGATGACTGATTATTCATCTATTAAACACTCGAATGATAAGTTAGTTATCCGACATTTTTCGTGTAACTATTCGACCATTTACCTAATAAAATATAAAATTTTCACTCACCTCGTTAAGGGTATGTGAAATTTTGTATATTGTATTAGGGTGACTGAATAAGTTACACGGAAATCATTCAGCGATCACATAAGACGTGTCTGATCAAGTATTCTTTTTTTTACCATTTAAAATATTATTTGCTTATTTAAATAAAATAATTTTTTTTTTTTAGCCTAAACATCCTTTCCCCGAGGAAAGAAATTTTCGATTAACTACAAGAGGCAAACTCGAACCTTATTACCTTGGTTTACAATCTCGTCAAAGATATGAAAAATTTTGGAAAAATGTTGAATATGATTCCGATATTGTAAAATTTCAGACTGCTAATACTTTTTGGTAAGTTGTGCATATTCACTAAATACTCTAGTCCTAAAAAGGTTACATCTGATTGAAATTAGACTTCAAAGTTAGAAACATTAAAAATTGTGATAACTGAAACTAATATTGATGAAGTTGGGATTTAGGCTTATTTAAATATGAAATTTAAAAGTTTTTTATGCGTAATTTTTTTTCTGTTATAATATAGGGTGGTTATAGTTTTTATAAAAGTGTATAAGTAAATTTTTGTAAGTTTAATAGGTTTTGTAGATTTAAATCGGCCTCAAATCCCAACTTTAGCCAATACAATCTTCAGTTGCCACAAGTATTAATTTAAGCATATGACTTATATATTAAAATATATTCATTAAAATATATTAAAGGATTAGTCAATCAACAATGTCTTTTTCGGAAGGATTATTGGATGGAACAGGCCCTGTAGGCGCTTGTAAAAGTGAGCCAGTATACATTTGGGCTTTACAACCGGTAAATATTATAAGTAACATAAGTATATATAAATTTTTTGTTTACAGTATTTATTAATTATAATTATTCGTATTATTTATTTGATTTTATATATTTTAGGGTCATGATGATATTTTAGAAATGTACAGTGCTTGTCTACGTTGGAACCAGACAGTTGCAAATAATTTTACGCTTTATATAGAGCAAGCTTATTCTTATGGTAATAAGACTTTAGCACCAATAGCAGAAAGAATGTCCAAAAAATACAATATCAATCCACCTCTTGATCCGCATTTAGTGCCATATATATATTATTATTGTGAATTCTGGGTCCTTCAATTTAATCGAACTGATACTTGGTGCGGACTGCTAAGCGATGATGAACTTATATTAGCTCAATATTATTGGAATATGAGAGCTTATTATCAATATTCATATGGAAATCCTCTTAATGAGCAATTGGGCTGTGTCTACATTACACAATTTGTAAATAGCGTTGAGGATTACTTAAACGGGAAATCTCGGATGGTAGCTGATATGAAATTTGCTCATGGATTTACTAAGATTGTTGTACTTACTACGTTGGTATGTAAAAAAAAAAAACTATTATATTTCAGCATTATTTATTTATGCATTAATAATTAATATATACTGTTAATCATAGGGTGTATTTAAAGATGAATATCCACTTACAGCAGATTTATCTCTTGAAAAAATAAAAGGTATAAAATATACAGAACAAACAACTGAATATTGGTCTTCTGCTACATACTTTGAAATTTATACTTCTCCAGGCAAGGATGTATTAATGCGACTTGTAGTTAATTCGGAACCATATAAAATTCCAGGTTGTGATGGTGAATATTGTAAATGGAGTGTATTTAAAAATATTTTGGGCAGTAAGATTAATTGTGATTTTGGAAAGTTGTGTGCTAATCCTTAGTATTTTACTGTATAATTGGGAATGTACTATAGATGTTCACATAGATTAGATCTGTACAATATATGCATAGTGCATATGTTATTCAACATTAATTGGCATGTAATATAGTAATAAAGATGTTATTATTATTTATTTGCGATTTAGATATATATATTTATATAACATTATGATAAATATTTAATTAATGAAATGTAAATGTAAATGTGAATACAATAATATTTAATACAGGTTACCCCGTTAATATCAATCTATTTGGATTAGACAATTATGTTGATGTTTGCGGGGTTGATAACAGCGGGATAGTTTTTACGTATATAGCTAAGCTTGTTTTTTCTTAACAAGAGGTTGATATTAATGGGAGTAACCTGTACTAGTATAAAGATTACATCATTGTAATGAGTTGGCATTTGTTTATCAATTTAAAAAAATTTGCAAGTTTTTTATAAAGTAAGGTTTTGTCTTTATTTTATTAATAATTTGTATTAAGAAATCACTATGAGTTTTTCTAACCAGAGCTAGTTTTACAAATTTTTATAAGACTAGATTATAGATAAAAAATATCTTATTTATTTACAATTTAAACCTATTAAAGTAATTAAAACTTATCTATACAATATTAATAGTGTTTCTAACCAGGGAGTGAAATAGATAATTGTTTGTTAATAATTTAATTTCCGATACATAAAATGATATAATTTGTGCAACTATATAATGATAAGTAATAAAAAAGGGTAAATTAAAATTTACCTGTTGTTCAGTACATTATCCTGAAATATAAAACTTAAATTAGTTTAAATATACCAATAATCTCAGCCAAACTAAAGTATTTGCAAAATTATAGATGCAAACCAGTATTTTTTTTTTATTTTGTATATCACTTTTAATTGGCTTATATTAAAAATTTTTATTCAAACACA